AAATATGCATGACACAACAAAGGAAAGTCTATGTGAACTTCATAATTTAAATATTGAAACATCAACTTGGGATCCAATTTTAGTTCACATGCTACTAAAAAAGTTGGATAAAAATACACATTGCAGTTTTGAACAAACTCTTACTAACCCAAAGGAGATGCCCACAATAAAACAATTCTTAGAATTTTTAGTATTGAAATTTCAGTCACTTGAGGCTATAGGTCTACGAGACAATGCAGTATATAAACCCAACAAAAGGATAGCCGTAACTATGGTTTGTTCAGATCTATGTAAAGTTTGTAACACAGATAAACATCCGATCTACTATTGCAAAAAATTCATTAAAATGACTCCTCCTGAACGATTAAATTGGATTGAACGACAAAAACTATGTGTGAATTGTTTCAAATCCGATCATAAAGCAAAGGTTTGTGAAGCTGGATCATGTAAAAAATGTGCCAAGAAGCATAACACTTTGCTTCATTTAGAGCAACAGTCACCTAAACAGTCACCTTCAACGCTAATGAATCGCCATCCATAACAGCAACAACTAATGCAAAGGGTACTCGTAATTACGTTCTGCTAGCCACTGCAAAGGTGCGCATTATTGCAAACAATGGACGAACGTGTGATGTTCGTGCCATACTCGACTCAGGTTCTCAAGTGAACCTAGTAACCCAAAGAGTAATCAACAAGTTATCTTTAATTACCACAAATTCAAATCTATCGATCGAAGGTATTGGCCGTCAATTCGGGAACTCAAAATCTCGCGTAAATGTTGAACTGCAGGCTACTAATGGAAGCTTCAGGACGAGACTAGAGGCATTTGTATTGCCACAAAAAATATCAGCACAACCGTCACGAGACCTAGATATTTCGGATTGGCAGATCCCACAGAATGTAGAATTAGCAGACCCCAGCTTTAACAGATCTGGAAGAATTGACATGCTGATTGGTGCTGAATTCTTTCATACTCTACTTCAACCAGAACAATTGATAATAGGAAAGAATTCGCCACTGTTACAAAATTCGGTTCTAGGTTGGTTGATGGTTGGTAAGACTAAAACTACAACAGATATTAAACCAACATGCGCTATTACTACAGGAGAAGTTGGTGAAATGTCAGAAATGATAGAACGATTTTGGAAGTTAGATAACATTGAGACTGCAGAAAGGGTTTTGACTTTATCTGAGAAATGGTGTGAAAATCACTTTACAAATCATGTAAAGACAAATCACGATGGTCGTTTCATTGTACGCTTACCTTTCCGCGATGATCCCACAACACTTGGTAGATCGCGTGAGATAGCATTCAATCGATTTTGTTCTCTGGAAAGGAAGTTACAAAGGGACCAAAATTTATACAAGGAGTACATAAAGTTCATGGCTGACTACGAGTCATTAGGTCACATGGAAAAAGTTTGCCCGAAAGATGTCAAAGGAGCACAATATTTCATTCCTCATCATTGTGTCTTGAAACCTGACAGCACTACAACCAAATTGAGAGTTGTCTTTGATGCATCAGCAAAAACATCAAGCGGTTTAGCACTAAACGATATTTTGCACAAAGGTCCAACAGTGCAAAGTGATCTTTTTTCAATACTGTTGCGTTTTAGAATATACCGGTTTGTATTTACGGCTGATATTGAGAAAATGTACCGGCAAATTCAAGTACATGATGAAGATACAGCACAGAAGCTGATAATCTGGAGAAAAAGTGCTGATGATAGTATACAATATTACCGACTGAAAACGGTTACATATGGAACGAAGTCAGCCCCTTATCTTGCAACAAAATGTCTTCAACACCTTGCGAAACATAATATGACCAACTATCGGCTTGGAGCACCTGCATTACTTAATGATTTTTATGTAGATGACTGTTTAAGCGGAACTAACAGCATCATTACCGCCTTAGACACTCAACAACAACTTACGGAACTGCTCAGTAAATCAGGATTTAAGCTGAGAAAATGGTGCTCAAATAATACACGACTCCTACAAAACATTCCGATAGAAGACCAAGAAATCAACCTTGATTTAGATGACTCAGCCATAAAGCCAACAAAAACATTAGACATTATTTGGCTCCCGAAATCAGACGAATTTTGCGGTAAGGCAGAGATGTCATCAGAGCAACCTATCACGAAGCGGATTGTGGCATCGGACTTAGCTCGAATTTTTGATCCTTTGGGAATTTTTGGCCCCATTACTGTAACAGCTAAAATATTCATGCAGGAATTGTGGCAACAAAACTATTCCTGGGATGCGGAACTGTTACCTCAGGCTCAGCTAGAATGGAAGCGTTTTAGAAATGACTTACAAACATTAAATACTGTGAAAGTACCCAGACATATTTTTAATTCGACGGTTCCCTGTTCGATTCAATTACACGTGTTTACGGATGCATCAGAGAAGGCATATGGAGCAGCTATGTACGTGCGAGCAATATATAATGATAAGACAATAACATCGAGACTATTGTGCGCCAAATCTAGAATAACACCATTAAAGAAACAGACACTTCCACGACTAGAACTCTGCGCAGCATTGCTGGGAGTCGAATTAGCAGAAAGAGTTAAACAAGATTTAAAGTATCAAAACGTGCCAACCTACTTTTGGTCCGATTCCGAAATTGTTTTGTCATGGATACTATCTTCATCTGCCTCATTGCACACATTCGTAGCAAATCGTATTAGCAAAATTCAAGAGATGTCACTTGCTGATCAATGGCATCATGTGGCGTCAAAGGATAATCCTGCTGACATCATTTCCAGAGGAATGAAAGTTAAAATGTTCAATTATTCACATATATGGTTTTTTGGTCCACTCTTCCTTCATGGAGGCAACGAATTTTGGCAACAGCCAAACCCAAAGGCATTTAACATCTCAACCGATATCGAAAGACGACAAGGACATACAGTTAACATTATCATTCAAACAACTGGTTCTGATCACATGATAAATCAAATTGATCATCGAAACTCATTCAGATACCTCCAAAGAACAATTGGTTATGTTCGCCGTGTATTTCATCGCACACAATCACCAACAAGAACACTTTCTCCAAAGGAATTACGAGATGCATTAGTCTTCATAATTAAAACTATTCAGGGCTCAGAATTTGCAAAGGAAATCTCTGACTTAAAACAATGTAAAGCAATCAACAGTTCGAGTCAACTAAATATTTTAGCACCGTTCATTGACGAACAAGGTGTACTTCGTGTTGGAGGAAGGCTTGAAGCATCAACATTGCCATATGATGCTAAACACCCAATGGTAATTCCTTACAATCACTCAATAGTGAAATTGATGTTCAAAATGAAACATGAAGAAAATTCCCATTGTGCCCCACAATTATTGCTAAGCACAATGAGACAAAACTTCTGGCCGATTAAAGGAAAGATTATGGCGCGAAACATTGTTCACACCTGTGTCATCTGTTCAAAGGCAAAACCAAAACTGATTGACCAACTCATGGGCAATTTACCGACTGATCGAGTTACTCTGACTAAACCATTTTTTACCACAGGAGTTGATTACTGTGGTCCGATATGGATTCATTATAAAATTAGAGGAAAAAGGCCAACAAAGGCATATTTAGCAGTATTTTGCTGTTTCGCGACTAAGGCTGTTCACCTAGAAGTGGTGAGTGACCTGACAACAGAGGCATTCATAGCCGCTATTCAACGTTTTATCAGCAGAAGAGGAAGATGCCAAACAATTTATAGTGACAATGCGACTAACTTTGTTGGGGCGAGAAACCAACTACAAGAGCTCCAGTCTACCACTTATTCAGAAAATGGAAAAGAAAAGATCATTAAGACCAGTAGTAACAAGGGAATTGACTTCAAATTCATTCCACCAAGAGCTCCTCATTTTGGAGGACTCTGGGAAGCTGCCGTCAAGTCAGCTAAACATTCAATGATTAAAGGAATTTTCAATGCTTCATTGACTTATGAAGAATTGACAACAGTCATAACTGAAATAGAAGCCATGTTAAATTCAAGGCCAATAACAAAAATGTCATCCGATCCAAATGATCTAACAGCGCTTACACCAGGACACTTTCTCATAGGCGAACCACTTACCACTAATGTGGATCCCTATCAAAAGGAGAGCCGAATGAGTTTATCATCACGATGGCGTCTAGTTTCTGAACTCAAACAAGAATTCTGGAGAAGATGGTCAAAGGAATATCTCAATGAACTCCAATCAAGGTACAAATGGAAACAACAAAAGGCAAATCTATGCCAAGGTGATTTAGTCATTATTAAAGATGATAATCTACCCATGTAAAAATGGCCTCTTGGCAGGGTGCAATAGGTGTATGAAGGAGAAGATGGCTTGGTCCGTATAGCTGACATAAAAACAGCCAATGGGATTCTTAAACAACCATTACGATCATTGGCCCCCCTACCCACTGAAGGCAGCATTAATCAAAATCCAACAAAACAAAATTCTACTGTCACACAAACAAGACGAACGAATGAACCTAGTGAAGCGTTGCCAAAGCGTCGAAAGATATATGATGGCACATCTTTAATGATGACCATACTTGTGACAATATTGATGATGCCATTAATACTTTCGAAACCCATTGAAGAAATATCATTTCCAAACAAACCCGAAATATATTTTGAAGGAATTGGCACCGTAAATCAAATCATTCGAAGATGGAAAATTATCACTTACTTTGAGTTCGCGCCTATTCGAAAGGAGATCGAAAGGTTTCAAAATGGCACAGCAGCACTTCAGCAATTGTGCCCATTGTTACAGCAACAAGAAAGCTGTTATGAGCTCGTCCGCCAATTCAATAATACTAACATAGAATTACGAACTGAAACGAAGGTTATGACGAGACACCGATCAGCCAGAGGAGCCATCAATATAGTTGGAAATATTGCTAACAAATTATTTGGTGTTTTAGATTCAGAATATGCTGAAACGATTTCTAAAACTCTAACTCAAATCAGCAATAATGAAGATGTACTATCAAAAATGATCAAAAATCAGACTACAGTCATGGACTCAACGCTAAATATATTCAGCAAAACTACAGAAGCCATTGCAGTTAAAATGAATCAACTACAAGATGAGACAAACAAAATAGTAGATTACACTAATCATAATACTAAACGTATTAAC